AAAAAAAAAATACATGCCTGATTCAAGAAGGGGGTCTGACGGCCAAAAATTATTTTACTAACTTATTAATTTTAAGTTAAATTGTGCTTTGTTGGTATAGTGTCTGCTAGAATGTTAAAAATGTTCTGTTAAATATTTTTAAATTGTTGCTTTGCAATTGATTTTTTTCTTTGAAAAGCACATTTTGGCTTTTTAATTTATGCAATGGTGAAAAAAAAAAAAAAAGGCAAAATACATGGGGAAAAAAAACTCAAAAAACCGTGTTCGGTATTTGGTCCAGTGTTTCATTTTGTTCGGTTTCGGCTTCGGCCAAGAATTTTCATTTCGGTGCATCCCTAATATTCATTGACATTATATTCATAAAAGCATAATGATGATACCATGTATTACTAAATTATCATCATGGTAGTTTTTCATGACAGCGTAAGTACAGTAACATATATGAATTCAATATTATGATGGTAGTATTTAAATCTGCAATATTTGTTAAAGGACAATTACAGTAGTAGCATTTATTACCACAAAAATTATGATGACAATTGTTCGGCAATACTCAGAAAAGCACAATAACAGTAATATTTATGGCAGCATGTATTTGTGACAGCATAATAGCAATAGTATTTACTAGCATTTAATTACCACAATATTAAATGCAGCAGTAATAACCTTTATGCTGTTACACGTAATGATGATCCGTACGTCCAGAAGTGTCTGTGGTGTGTGTGTGATATCTGTGCATGCTAAACTGATTACGTGTGTTTATGACATTCTGTTTCAGAGTGTGTGTGCGCGTATGATTCATTTCCTCTCATTTACTGTAGATTAGGGAAATGAACACACATCGGTCTGTGTGTGGATACATGAGTGCATCCGTGTGCAAGCGCATACCTGTTATTGATGCTGTTCCACATCGTGTTGAGTTTGTCCATGACCTCTTTGACCTTGCGTGTGTCGTCAGTGGCATATTCCTGCAGAAGCTGATTGGACAGTTCATTAAAGGACGTCACGCTCTCCTGTCCTCGACTGAGCTCCTGCAGGAACGCCTGACAGCAAAAAGAAATCAATACATAAAGCTACCATCTAAACAGCACGGCAAAAAGCGGGTGGAGTCGCTATAGAAGTCTAGATGTTGTTTGGTTCATGTGTGTCCGTCGCTGCAGAGGGTAACTTTACCTCAAATGACTTCAGAGAATCACTGTCAACAACCTTAAAATCTTAATTTCTAACCTAAGGCAAACATTAAAATATATGATCATGCCTAAAATATCTGCGAGTTTAAAACATTTTAATAATATATGAATACCAAACAATTAGGCAGTGAAATTATTATGACTCTAGCACCCCCTACAGGTGCGTTTCTGTAGTGTGTGTGAGTGAGTGAGTGAGTGTGTGTGTTTGTGTGTGTGTGTGTGTGTGTGTGTCTCATGTGTGGTGTGTCGTGTGTGTGTGTGTGTGAGAGTGTATCATGTGGGGTGTGTCGTGTGTGGGTGTGTGTGTGAGTGTATCATGTGTGGTGTGTCGTGTGTGTGTGTGTGTGAGAGTGTATCATGTGGGGTGTGTCGTGTGTGGGTGTGTGTGTGAGTGTATCATGTGTGGTGTGTCGTGTGTGTGTGTGTGTGAGAGTGTATCATGTGGGGTGTGTCGTGTGTGGGTGTGTGTGTGAGTGTATCATGTGTGGTGTGTCGTGTGTGTGTGTGTGTGAGAGTGTATCATGTGGGGTGTGTCGTGTGTGGGTGTGTGTGTGAGTGTATCATGTGTGGTGTGTCGTGTGTGTGTGTGTGTGAGAGTGTATCATGTGGGGTGTGTCGTGTGTGGGTGTGTGTGTGAGTGTATCATGTGTGGTGTGTCGTGTGTGTGTGTGTGTGAGAGTGTATCATGTGGGGTGTGTCGTGTGTGGGTGTGTGTGTGAGTGTATCATGTGTGGTGTGTCGTGTGTGTGTGTGTGTGAGAGTGTATCATGTGGGGTGTGTCGTGTGTGGGTGTGTGTGTGAGTGTATCATGTGTGGTGTGTCGTGTGTGTGCATGCGTGCGTGTGTGTGTGTCAATTCAAAAGCCACATTTACACCTGTGCTATTAAGTGCATGGTGACTCAGAAATGCTCTAAAGAAGAGTCTACAAGACGATTACAAGTCATTATTTACCGCAATGTTTAATCTGACAATCATTTCTTCACTTAATTGATGAGAAGCCCTTCTTTTTTTCTTGCATATATTATGTGGATTATATGTAGGATTTCAAACACTGTTAAAATTAAAGCTAAACACATGCATATTTAATTAATATTAGTGAAGTACTAATTATAGTGGTACTACTTGTGAAAACATAATTATGGTATTTTTTGTGTCAGTATTATGATGGTCATTTATTGCTACAATATGCATGAGAGTGTTATTACATTAGTATTCATTCACATGTATTGCTGCAAAGTTCATGAATCTATAATTGTTCACATTTAATATAACTATATTATTATGGGAGTATTTATTACCATCTATTTCTAAAATATTTGTACAAGCATAATGTTGTATTTAACAGCGCAATATTATTACAGTAGTATTTGTTAGCATTTATAGCAACAATATTTACGAAAGCAAAATTATAATAATATTTAATATCACAATATTACTATTGGAGGATTTATTAGCATTTATTTAAAAAATATTTGTAAAAGCATAATCAAGGAAGTATTTAACAGCAAAAGTATCACAGTAATATGTATTAGCATTTATTAAAATAATATTAATGAAAGCATAATTAAAATAGTATTTCATATTACAATATTGAAGTATTTCTTAGCATTTCTTTCAAAAATATTTATGGAAGCATAGTCAAGGTAGCAATTTAATCGAGCATAATAATTAAAATAGTATTTATTAGCATTTACTGAAATAATATATTACGAAAAGCATAATTATGGTAGCATTTATTACATTATTATTATAGTATTTATTGACATGATATTTGTGAGAGCATAATTATGATACTATTTGACTAAACTGTACACAACTCCTCAGAAATGCTCTTAAAAACAGTCTGCAAGACTAATATGAAATCTCATTCATTCATGATTTAATGCAGTGATTAATTTGGCAAGCATTTCTTCAACTAATTGATGAGAAACTGATGAGAGCCCTCTTTTATATACTGTAATTTGGATTATATGTAGGATTTCAAACAAATGTTTCATATTTCAATATGAATATATTAGTCACATTTTATTGCACTCTGTTTGTTGATGTGAATGCACGTTTTAAGTGTAACAACAGAAATACTTGCATGTCTACAACATGAAGAAAGCCAATCATTTTTTTTCCAAACGTTGTTGCCCTCCAATGAGTTCAAATGAAGGGGAAATGACCTTAAAAAGCCATTTTATTATATATATATATATATATATATATATATATCGAACCCACAACCTTTGGGTTATGAGTCCGACTCTCTAACCATTAGGCCTACCTTTTCAAGGTCATGTAAAGAACAGCTGTATTTTAGCAACACGAAGTTTGAAAATACAAACAGTGAACACAAAATATCTTAAGGTTTGCTCTGTCTCCAATTGTAAACCAGAAATATGCATCTTTCATTAGGAACAGCTCCATTGCCTCTATTTTGTTTCTAACATGCCCACAAAACTAAAAACACACCAAACCTCATATAAAACCACATGTGCTGAATTTACTGCGCTCAGAACTCATCCTTGAATTCATCTACTTATATTGCGGTCATGCTGAGAAAATAAATGCAAGTGACTAATGAACAAATGACTAGGCCTACAAATAAGAGAAGCTTGCTGCACTGACAGAGAAATATGGAGCTGACTGGAAGAACCTGCGATAAAGTGAAAGAGACTGTCTTTCTTTGAGAGATTGCAGACTTTTTTAAAGGAAGATGAACAGGTTACAGGGAACATGATAAGACTAAACAAACATGCAGATAAAAAGTTTAGACTGACCAGTTATGTCAAATAAATGTAGCATTGTATCAGTGTCTCAGCAATGGATGCTCAGCAGTGAATGGGTGCCGTCAGAATGAGAGTCCAAACAGCTGATAAAAACATCACAATAATCCACAAGTAATCCACAACACTCCAGTCTATTAATTAACATCTTGAGAAGTGAAAAGCTGCGTGTTTGTAAGAAACATTAAGATGTTTTTAATGTGTTTTGCATTGCTTCCAGCTAAAGTATGGATTCTATGCATAATATCACTTTCTCCAGTGAAAAGTTGTCACGTGTGAACCAGGAAAGAAATCTGCACAGACCAAGCACGGTTTACAAGCCAAAACAGTCTGAAACTGCTCTGAACAAATATGTGGGTGGATTTTGATGTGAGAAAACAACAGGGGATGGACTTTTTATCAGAGGAAGCTTTATTATGGATTCATATTTTAGCCAGAAGCAACAGTTTGAAGTTAAAAACATCTAAATGATGGATTTGTTTCTTACAAACACGTGGCTTTTCACTTCTCAAGACGTTAACTGATGGACTGGAGTGGTGTGGATTATTGTGATGTTTTTATCAGCTGTTTGGACTCTCATTCTGACGGCACCCATTCACTGCAGAGCATCCACTGGTGAACATGTGATGTAATGCTACATTTCTCCAAACCTGATGAAGAAACAAACTCATCTACATCTCGGATGACCTGAGGGTGAGGACATTTTCGGGAGAACTGTAGCTGAAGCTGTAATCCATTTGTCTGGTTTGATTGGCAGTTCTTTAATTAGGTTAAATGATTAATCAAACATGAATCACATCTGAAGTTTTATTTAATAAATATGAAGCTTTTCTATTGAAAAAAATCATAGTGGGCTTAATTGGAACATGTACTTAGAAGCCACTCCAGACTTTTAATTAAATAAAGCAATTTAATTTTGTCACTTCCTGACAAAACATACCATGAGTGTTTACTCTTCACTTCAATAGCCACTTTAGTGAAAGCCTGTTCAAATAACTATAAGAAAACATGAACAGATAAGATTCAGATGATCTTAATAGGGTCACTTCTAATGTTAATTAAATGACAAAAAGTGCCACAAAAAAGCCTGATGGATTTCTGCTGTTCGCTCAACTACAAATCACACTGATCCAGATCCCAGTATCATCATATAAATCGAAAACATGATTTCTTTGTTTGAAAGTGCATGTGTCTGGAGCTGAGACCAAGTTTTGACACTTACGAACGATCTTATTTTAAAACTGGAAGAGGAGCAAAATGATGGCAAATCTTTACGGTAACACAGGTCAAAGGTGAAAATTAAAGATCTCACCTTGTTGTCACTGATCTGTTTAGTGAGCGGCCCTCGGCTCAGCTGCAGCAGGCTATGCAGATGCATCTCGTGTTGTCCAATCAGAGCCTTCACCTGGTGCCTCTGCTCCTCCCATTGATCGCTGTGGCCGATCATGCATTCCAGCTGCAGAAGCCGCGCCTCCACGCCGTGCTGTGTGCCGTCCCATTGGCTGCGGACCTTCTCCACTGACACACAGCAGGGAGAGAGGAATGAGTCTCACTATCTCACACAACAGATGCTCCACACGCTTCATTAATACATGAGTATAAAACCGTCTGAGGTGTTATTCATCAGAACCACCAATTGAGCTCACTTCATTTGCTTTATTTATTTTTATATAACAACAGCCAATTTGTCAAAGCTTTCTGTACTTCCTGACAAAAAAAAACAAACAATTACAAGGATAGGATTACAATTATGACTAAGATAATGATTAAAAATGATTAAGAATCACAAGAAAGACTAAGATTAAGACTAAAACAAAGATCAAAGATTAGAGCTAAGGCTAAGATTAAAACAAAGGCAAAGCGAAACTAACACAGAGACTCAGATTAAGAAAAGGCTAAAACTGAGATTAAAATCAAGCGTAAGATTAAAACAAACACTAAGATTATGATTTAATATTGAACACTAAAATTACAATTAAAGATTATGATTTAAAAAACATTTGATTAACAATAACAAGACAAAAACCGAGATTAAGATAGACTAAGATTAAAAGTTAGACAAAGACTAAGACCAATGCAAAGCCAAAGGTACACTGAAATCGAGTTTAAGATAAAGGTCAAGAATAAAACTAAGATTAAAGTTAAGACAAAGATTAAGACAGAATAAGATCATACATGATTGGGAATCACACGAGAGAAAGCCTGAGTTTATAATAAAGACTAAGATTAAGATAGAAACAACAATTAGGTCTAAGGCAAAAACTAAGACCAAGGCAAAGTAAAGCTGACACTGAGACTGAAATTAAGATAAAGGTCAAAACTAAGATTAAGGTTAACATAAAATCATAACTTAATATATGATTTAATATTGAATACTAAGTTCATTAATACACGAGTATAAAACCGTCTGAGGTGTTATTCATTAGAACCACCAATTGAGCTCACTTCATTTGCTTTATTTATTTTTATATAACAGCCAATTTGTCAAAGCTTTCTGTACTTCCTGACAAAAAAAACAAAACAATTACAAGGATAGGACTACAATTATGACTAAGACAATGATTAAAAATGATTAAGAATCACAAGAAAGACTAAGATTAAGACTAAAACAAAGATCAAAGATTAGAGCTAAGGCTAAGATTAAAACAAAGGCAAAGCGAAACTAACACAGAGACTCAGATTAAGAAAAGGCTAAAACTGAGATTAAAATCAAGCGTAAGATTAAAACAAACACTAAGATTATGATTTAATATTGAACACTAAAATTACAATTAAAGATTATGATTTTAAAAAATGTGATTAACAATAACAAGACAAAAACTGAGATTAAGATTAAGACTAAGATTAAAAGTTAGACAAAGACCAAGACCAATGCAAAGCCAAAGGTACACTGAAATCGAGTTTAAGATAAAGATCAAGAATAAAACTAAAATTAAAGTTAAAACAAAGATTAAGACAGAATAAGATCATACATGATTGGGAATCACACGAGAGAAAGCCTGAGTTTATAATAAAGACTAAGATTAAGATAGAAACAACAATTAGGTCTAAGGCAAAAACTAAGACCAAGGCAAAGTAAAGCTGACACTGAGACTGAAATTAAGATAAAGGTCAAAACTAAGATTAAGGTTAACATAAAATCATAACTTAATATATGATTTAATATTGAATACTAAGATTGAAATAAAGACAAAGATTAAAAATGTCAATCAAAAAAAAGAACTGAGATTAATATAAAGGCTAAGATTAAGACAGAGTAAGATCTATATCTGTCTTTCTATCTATCAATATCTAATATCTATAGACGTCAGAATGATAGACAGACAGACAGAGATAGATAGATAGATAGATAGATAGATAGATAGATAGATAGATCAAAAGCAAGATTAATATTAAGAAGACACGATTAAGACAGGTTAATACTGAACCCAAGATTCAGACTAAGGCGGAGATAAAGAAGATCATGATGAGTATATGCTCACGTTTCTCTGAGATGGAGGTGCGCACGTCGAGGTTGGAGGTTTTGTTCTTGATGTTTTGTGCCAGAGTGATGATATCTTCCAGCTGTGGATGTCTCTGCTCTAGATCACCTTTAGTCACCTACACACAACCACAACACAGGGCTTTAAACATGACCAGGGTTTAGCGGTCTGAATAATAATTCTGTGTAGACAGAAACACAGCCATAAATCACTGCTTTTATCTTCTATTTAAGGAAAGATCTACTAGCTATTTGCCAGCCTATCAAGCCAAACGTCTTCAAACTGAAGACAGACCCCCTCTCAGGTCTAATTCTGCGGCCTGACCTGCAGGCGGCCGATGGTGGTGTGGATCTCCTCTTTGTCTCCCACTGTGACGATGTTGGATTTGAGCATCTGGTGGATGAGGAGCAGCCAGTCCGCCAGCTCTGTGGCCGTCTGGTGGAGGTCGCTGGGGCCCACCAGCTCTGGGCTGGGACGCCGCTCCTCGCTCATCAGACTGACCATGTGCACCGCAGACGGCACGCTCCCTGACACACACACAATCCACAGTAAACACTCGATTACATCTGGAAGAGCAGCGCGAGTGTCCAATTTACCTGTGTGTGCTGCACTCACCTGTGAACTGCTGCTGAGCCACTTGTTGTGTCCATGGAGACAGAGGCTGTTGTGGCGTCTCCTTCAGTCTGGCATCCAGAGCTTTCCAATCTGCAGCCAGCTGTTCGATTTTACTCTACACAAACACACATACATCCACTTCATTCTCATTCATCTCTGCACTTTACAAGCAAAAACACAACAAGAATGGAGCTAGTGCTGCATGACAATTTGTCTACTTCCAGTGTAGTTAAACAGTTCACTGTTGATTGGTAAGTACACACTTTTTGAGCGTGTCGGAAGAGTATTGAGACAATCTACCACATCCTAAAACTGTATAGTGTTACGGTCTGTTCACACCAAGATGAGTATCTGGTGCAAATATTTGGTGCCGTAAATATATCAACTTGAACACTAATGCAAACATCTGCATTGTCAATGCAACAAGAGTTTTTTTTTTTTTTATGGATTGTTTTAATCTCTTTTCCATTGCACTGTGAAGAAAGCTGGCCAACCGGTAAGATTTGCATTCTTGATCACATGCCTAGAACCACTGCTTAAAAATAAAACCAACGCTCTTCAGTGAATAACAGAAGTGAATCTGTACTCTTGCATTTGGTGTTGTTTGATGAACACCATTAAAAATGCAAATATCTGAAAAGTAATTACTGTTACAGCAAATAGTCTAAATTCTGTTTGACTTCCCAACGTTTATTATGCATTGCATGAACAGAAAAATTGCATACGAAAAACACTTGTGCTGGTGTAAGCTAGGGTTATTAGTTCAACTAAAATGATCAAAAAACACTTGTAGTTGAAATAAATGTTAACTGAAATGAATGAATTTATTTCAGCTAGTTTCCAAAGCAACATGTAAAACACCTCAAACTAAATATAATAAAACTAATTCATATCACTAACTACATCATTAATAATTATTTACTAAAACAACCAAATAACTAATAATTTAAACTGATATTAATAAAAACTACATAGACAAACTATATAGAAAAACTAATAACAAAAAAAATTACAATAAAACATAAAAATAGAAAATATAATACAGTCTAATTCAAAATAATAACTATATAAAACTATCAATGATATCAAAATAACTCTGGTGTGAACAGGGCTTTAGCATTAAGCTCAACTGATTTAGAGTAAAATTCATTACTTTTCATAAATTAAAAACTGCTTTGGCATCACACTATTAATGATAAAAGTAAGTGAATTGAAGCCCAGCACATACTCTACATTGTTTTTTGTGTTGTTGTTTTTTTTGCTGGGTGACACAAACCTTTTCCTGTGGTAAAAGCAGCTGTTTCCTCTGGAGCTCAATAGAGTAAGACAACAGCTCCTCCAGCTCCCGCTTCTGCTCTCGCATGGACATTTCCAGAACCTACACAAACACATGTCCGTCATTAAATCATTGATCATTTATTGATTCTCCCTAATTCTTCTTTTAAATGGATTCCCAAATGTTTGTGTCAGCCAAAACCAATTTGACATGAAATATTTTCTTGAAATATCTCTGAGGAAGTTAATATTTCAATAATTTAACAACACATCCGGTCAGACTGTAAACAAATTAAATATTTCAATTTTTAGTGTTTAATTAATGATTAGCTTTTTATCAACTCACAAACCCACTGCAGTTCTTACATTAAGCCCAGTTTTGATATTAAAGAAGAAAAAAAATGTTTTTTATTTTTTGCTTTGCTTCTTTATTTCAACATGGTACATTCAACGGTACATTTAAAAAAAATAAAATAAAAATAAGCCTGTGGTTTGGCATGCACTCCCCTCACCATGGTGGCGTGCGTATACCGTTACCCATAGCGACCCCTAGAGGACGCAGTTTGAAGTTCCCTTGAAAGGGAACGTCTCAGGTTACGTATGTAATAGAGGTCTACACGGAGGACCCGAGACCCGGGATCCGTACGGGTTCGGGGCTATATTTTAAATAGACCGGGTCGGGTCCCAATCTATTACTTCGGGTCCCGGGTCTGTTTAACATTGTGTGTAATACCCGAGTCGATCGGACTCGGAGAACACCCGGCTGTAATCAGAGTCAGTCAGCGCTGTGCGTGTTTTGTTTTGTAACTTTCAACTTGTAAAATTAGGATGAGAAAAGTGTGAGTCGGTAATTTGAAATAAGGTGTAGCACATTTACGGGTCTCTTCGGGTTCGGGAATTTTTGGACCCGTGTAGACCTCTAGTATGTAACCATGGTTCCCTGAGTAGGGAACGAGACACTGCATCCTCTAGTTTCCTTGCCATGCTTCAGACGCAAGCTTCAGACAAAGAAGCGGATGACATGTTCTCCCGGCGCCTATTTATACTGTGGTCACACCGGTAGTGACGTCATGGCTGTCGCCAGCCAACATGTTGTTGGTGTTTTGAATGTATGTTTCAGACACGGGTCACGTTGAGGCGTTCCCCATAGCGACCCCTAGAGGATGCAGTGTCTCGTTCCCTACTCAGGGAACCATGGTTACATATGTAACCTAAGACGATTACAATAATTGAACAACACATTCGGTCACACTGGCATGCAGGAAAACAAATTAAATATTTCCATTTTTAGTGTTTAATTAATGATTAGCTTTTTATCAACTCACAAACCCACTGCAGTTCTTACATTAAGCCCAGTTTGGGAAATTAATGTAATGTTTAATGCATTTTATGATGTTGATATTAAAGAAGACATTTTTGTTTGTTTGTTTTGTTTCGCTTCTTTATTTCAACATGGTACATTCAATGGTACGTAAAAAAAAAAAAAAAAAAAAATTTTCCATTGTGCACAGCGAATATTTAAAAAGGTGTGTTCAATAAAAACATGAACACAGTTTGTGTTATTTAAGCAGATATGTGACTTAGGTAACAATTAGATCATATTTCATGATTTATACAAGATATTTGAGTACATCTACGGGTTCATAATAGAGGTCTACATGGAGGACCCGAGACCCGGGATCCGTACGGGTTCGGGGCTATATTTTAAATAGACCGGGTCGGGTCCCAATCTATTACTTCGGGTCCCGGGTCTGTTTAACATTGTGTGTAATACCCGAGTCGATCGGACTCGGAGAACACCCGGCTGTAATCAGAGTCAGTCAGCGCTGTGCGTGTTTTGTTTTGTAACTTTCAACTTGTAAAATTAGGATGAGAAAAGTGTGAGTCGGTAATTTGAAATAAGGTGTAGCACATTTACGGGTCTCTTCGGGTTCGGGAATTTTTGGACCCGTGTAGACCTCTAGTATGTAACCATGGTTCCCTGAGTAGGGAACGAGACACTGCATCCTCTAGTTTCCTTGCCATGCTTCAGACGCAAGCTTCAGACAAAGAAGCGGATGACATGTTCTCCCAGCGCCTATTTATACTGTGGTCGCACCGGTAGTGACGTCATGGCTGTCGCCAGCCAACATGTTGTTGGTGTTTTGAATGTATGTTTCAGACACGGGTCACGTTGAGGCGTTCCCCATAGCGACCCCTAGAGGATGCAGTGTCTCGTTCCCTACTCAGGGAACCATGGTTACATATGTAACCTAAGACGATTACAATAATTGAACAACACATTCGGTCACACTGGCATGCAGGAAAACAAATTAAATATTTCCATTTTTAGTGTTTAATTAATGATTAGCTTTTTATCAACTCACAAACCCACTGCAGTTCTTACATTAAGCCCAGTTTTGATATTAAAGAAGAAAAAAAATGTTTTTTATTTTTTGCTTTGCTTCTTTATTTCAACATGGTACATTCAACGGTACATTTAAAAAAAATAAAATAAAAATAAGCCTGTGGTTTGGCATGCACTCCCCTCACCATGGTGGCGTGCGTATACCGTTACCCATAGCGACCCCTAGAGGACGCAGTTTGAAGTTCCCTTGAAAGGGAACGTCTCAGGTTACGTATGTAATAGAGGTCTACATGGAGGACCCGAGACCCGGGATCCGTACGGGTTCGGGGCTATATTTTAAATAGACCGGGTCGGGTCCCAATCTATTACTTCGGGTCCCGGGTCTGTTTAACATTGTGTGTAATACCCGAGTCGATCGGACTCGGAGAACACCCGGCTGTAATCAGAGTCAGTCAGCGCTGTGCGTGTTTTGTTTTGTAACTTTCAACTTGTAAAATTAGGATGAGAAAAGTGTGAGTCGGTAATTTGAAATAAGGTGTAGCACATTTACGGGTCTCTTCGGGTTCGGGAATTTTTGGACCCGTGTAGACCTCTAGTATGTAACCATGGTTCCCTGCGTAGATAGAAAAACACCTGCATCCTCTAGTTTCCTTGCCATGCTTCAGACGCAAGCTTCAGACAAAGAAGCGGATGACATGTTCTCCCGGCGCCTATTTATACTGTGGTCACACCGGTAGTGACGTCATGGCTGTCGCCAGCCAACATGTTGTTGGTGTTTTGAATGTATGTTTCAGACACGGGTCACGTTGAGGCGTTCCCCATAGCGACCCCTAGAGGATGCAGTGTCTCGTTCCCTACTCAGGGAACCATGGTTACATATGTAACCTAAGACGATTACAATAATTGAACAACACATTCGGTCACACTGGCATGCAGGAAAACAAATTAAATATTTCCATTTTTAGTGTTTAATTAATGATTAGCTTTTTATCAACTCACAAACCCACTGCAGTTCTTACATTAAGCCCAGTTTGGGAAATTAATGTAATGTTTAATGCATTTTATGATGTTGATATTAAAGAAGACATTTTTGTTTGTTTGTTTTGTTTCGCTTCTTTATTTCAACATGGTACATTCAATGGTACGTAAAAAAAAAAAAAAAAAAAAAATCTAAAAAGTAGTCCGAATAAATGGCCTAATACGAGTAACCTAGATTACGTCACTAACTGCAGTTTTCATCATGTAGTCTGAAATCAGTAATGGATTCTGCTCACAGACCCCCAGAAATGAAATTTTTGTAATTATATAATCGATCTCAGTGCATTTCAGAACATCACACTTAACACTTTCTTTCTTCTATGGAAGATATTTTGACAAATGTCTCCGTGTTTTTCCACACAATGAAAGTAAATGGTCACCAAAACTGCTTGGTTACCAATATTCCTTACTTAATATCTTTTGTGTTCCACAGAAGAAAGTCATTCAGGTTTGGAACGACATGAATTTGCACTGATGAACTGTTTGAGATGGAGGGTGCTGCGTGTGAGCGTCTGACCTGTCTCTCCGCGGGTGTGACGTCACTCAGAGACTGGCTGCTGATGTAAACCCAGTCGCCCAGTCTGCTCATGCGCTCCTGGAACTGGCTGTAAGACGCCAGCCTCCTCTCGTCCTGCAGCGGTGTGTGTGTCTGCAGACGACCCTCCACCTCACGCACCTTATCCAGCAGCTCGCGGCTCACCTACAAACACACACACACACGTTTCCACATGATAAAATTTCATTCTGTATTGTATTTCTGTAGGTCAAAACCCAGAAACGAGTTGTATTTTAGCACTTCTGCTTCTGTTGTCATGAAGTCAATAAGTCAATGGAATGGCTTTTTGCGTGAATGACTGAAGTAAGGTCTGTGGTGAACACAAGCTCAGATATTATCACGCTTTTACGCTTTTACTTTAAGCTTTTACTCGTCTTGTCTTGTTTGCTAACTAGTGGCTCATTCTAAATATAAAAATCCTGGCTTTTTGCCGTGGGAACCAGGTTGATGCTACTTGAAGGTTGGCCTACAAAACTATGTCATCATTGCAGCGCTCTACTGTCTGTGTCTCATTTGACATCATTAAAACTATACCAGATAGACAGCCGTGTAGATGTGAAAACATGAGGGCGACACTCACAAAAAAGATATAAAAGCAGACAGACAGAGAGAGAGATTTTGTTGTGATTGTGTGCGATAGAGTTGTTTCCGTACTTTACTCCAGCTGAGGTTTATCTGCCTTATTTTGTTCACATGAGTGTCTCTGTCCTGAGGACTTTTTGACAAGATCTGAGAGCCAGTTTTATTCAGCCATGACAGCGTCTCATTCTGAGCATCCATCTCCTCCGTCAAGGCCTGAGAGACAGAGACAGAGTGTTAAAGCAGACATTCTGATGCACTAGCAGCTGTTTTTGGAGTAATCAATGAAAATGCTTTATAATTAAACTAACTTTTTCATTTATTTATATTTTTATTGTTTGAGCTTTTAAACTAGGGGTGTTTTAGTGTTAATAGTTGTGTTTAGAGTAATTTTACACTAGCTACAAAAATATGCAGTCTTTTTTTTTTTTTTTAAGAAAACAAAAGGACACATGTAATGTAATAAGATACTAAGAATGTTTCTTGAGTATCAAATCAGCGTATTACAATTATTTCTGAATGATCATTTGACTGAAGACTAGAGACTAAAAGACAAGACAGATTAAAAAAATTTTTTTACCAATCTCAAACTTCTCAGTGGTAAATATATGTGTGTAAGTGTATACATAAATAAAAAAAAAAAAAAAAATCTAAAAAGTAGTCTGAATAAATGGCCTAATACGAGTAACCTAGATTACGTCACTAACTGCAGTTTTCATCATGTAGTCTGAAATCAGTAATGGATTCTGCTCACAGACCCCCAGAAATGACATTTTTGTAATTATATAATCGATCTCAGTGCATTTCAGAACATCACACTTAACACTTTCTTTCTTCTATGGAAGATATTTTGACAAATGTCTCCGTGTTTTTCCACACAATGAAAGTAAATGGTCACCAAAACTGCTTGGTTACCAATATTCCTTACTTAATATCTTTTGTGTTCCACAGAAGAAAGTCATTCAGGTTTGGAACGACATGAATTTGCACTGATGAACTGTTTGAGATGGAGGGTGCTGCGTGTGAGCGTCTGACCTGTCTCTCCGCGGGTGTGACGTCACTCAGAGACTGGCTGCTGATGTAAACCCAGTCGCCCAGTCTGCTCATGCGCTCCTGGAACTGGCTGTAAGACGCCAGCCTCCTCTCGTCCTGCAGCGGTGTGTGTGTCTGCAGACGACCCTCCACCTCACGCACCTTATCCAGCAGCTCGCGGCTCACCTACAAACACACACACACACGTTTCCACATGATAAAATTTCATTCTGTATTGTATTTCTGTAGGTCAAAACCCAGAAACGAGTTGTATTTTAGCACTTCTGCTTCTGTTGTCATGAAGTCAATGGGTTTTTTGAATGGCTTTTTGCGTGAATGACTGAAGTAAGGTCTGTGGTGAACACAAGCTCAGATATTATCACGCTTTTACGTTTATTTTTTAAGCTTTTACTCGTCTTGTCTTGTTTGCTAACTAGTGGCTCATTCTAAATATAAAAATCCTGGCTTTTTGCCGTGGGAACCAGGTTGATGCTACTTGAAGGTTGGCCTACAAAACTATGTCATCATTGCAGCGCTCTACTGTCTGTGTCTCATTTGACATCATTAAAACTATACCAGATAGACAGCCGTGTAGATGTGAAAACATGAGGGCGACACTCACAAAAAAGATATAAAAGCAGACAGACAGAGAGAGAGATTTTGTTGTGATTGTGTGCGATAGAGTTGTTTCCGTACTTTACTCCAGCTGAGGTTTATCTGCCTTATTTTGTTCACATGAGTGTCTCTGTCCTGAGGACTTTTTGACAAGATCTGAGAGCCAGTTTTATTCAGCCATGACAGCGTCTCATTCTGAGCATCCATCTCCTCCGTCAAGGCCTGAGAGACAGAGACAGAGTGTTAAAGCAGACATTCTGATGCACTAGCAGCTGTTTTTGGAGTAATCAATGAAAATGCTTTATAATTAAACTAACTTTTTCATTTATTTATATTTTTATTTTTTGAGCTTTTAAACTAGGGGTGTTTTAGTGTTAATAGTTGTGTTTAGAGTAATTTTACACTAGCTACAAAAATATGCAGTCTTTTTTTTTTTTTTTTTTTAAGAAAACAAAAGGACACATGTAATGTAATAAGATACTAAGAATGTTTCTTGAGTATCAAATCAGCGTATTACAATTATTTCTGAATGATCATTTGACTGAAGACTAGAGACTAAAAGACAAGACAGATTAAAAAAATTTTTTTACCAATCTCAAACTTCTCAGTGGTAAATATATGTGTGTAAGTGTATACATAAATATATGTGTTTTGATGTTTTCACTAACTAATGTCTACTAAATATATATATATATATAAAACAACAATAATAATAATTGTTATAATGTACCCTAAAACTAAAATAAAAAAAAGTTTCTCTGGCTTCTTTAACTAAAAACAGAAAATAAAGCACATAAAAACAAAATAAACATGTCCATGATATAAAAAGCTAAATAATAAGCCACTGCTGAAACTAACTAAAACTAAACTTTGAAACTAAAATTTGAAAGTAGCATTACAATAAATTTAGCAATGCAAAATTATAGAAAACATTGTAAAAACAAAACTAATATTAATAATAAATGAACAATATAAAATAGTGGCTACATACTTTTTTTTAAGGGCTTCGTGAATAGCATCTATGTAGTTAGTTGATGATGCAGGCGAGTGTGTGTGTTTGTGTCTGTCTGTATGCGTGTGTGTGCGTGTGTGTGTGTGTGTGTGTGTGTGAGTGTGTCTGTCTGTGTCTGTGTGTGTGTTTTTGTCTGTCAGTATGTGTGTGCTGCGTGTGTGTGTGTGTTTGATTGTGTCTGTGTTGCGTGTGTGTGTGTGTGTGTGTGTGTGTGTGTGTGTGTGTGTGTGTGTGTGTGTGTGTGTG